CTGGAACTACAGGCGCACGCTACACGCCCGGCTAGTTTTTGACTTATTGTAGAGATGAGGTCTCGCCAAGTTGCCCAGGTGGGTCTTGAATCCGCAGGCTCAGGCAATCCACTCACCTCAGCCTCCCAAAGTGCTGGGATTACAGGCTGAGCCACTGAGCCTGGCTCGAAAATGCAAAGTTTTTGACTTTAGAAAAAGAATTGTTCATGGTGCATTTGGAGTGTGTGTGTAGAAAAAAAAAAGGATAGTCATTATTCCCTATGAGAATCCTAGAGGAAAAGACTTTAGGTGATGATAATACCTAATATTTACTGAGTCTTGACTAGATAATTACAACTCTATGAGATATACACCAGGTCTGTTATTCACTCCCATTTTACAGGAACAGTGAGTTTAAATAAATTGCTCTGCATCACATGGCGAGCAGAGCCAGAATTTGAAACCACAGTCTGACTGTAGAGCTCTCTAGTTCATGTCTGATCCAGTTAGTTCTGTTTATAGACAAGAAGCAAGTCCAGGGAGAGTAAATGACTTATTCAGAATACAAAATTGCTAGATAGTGGCAGAGTGAGTACCACACCCAGAGGAGAGGTCAAAGCTGCCAGTATTCAGTGAAGTGACCTTGGGCAAGCTCCTTAATCTTCCTGGACCGCAGTTGACTCTGCTGAGAAATGAGGGCATTGGACTGGATTAAGAGCTCCTTGGTTCTGCATATTTAAAGGGGTGCGTTGTTGCACAGGTTAGCATATACCTTTCGCTGTAAGACACTTGTGAAGTGTTTTGGTTAGAGTTTGGTTCACCTACTTAGGGATATGAGTCAATGGTAAAATTAAACATGTAATTGAATGAGAGAGAAGCCATTGCCCAAAAGATGTCTGGGTAAATTTGGAGTGGCTGAAACACGGAGGATTACTGTTTTAATTTTCTTTGCTGTGGATCTGGTGTGTCTCTTTGGTGAGTCTTGAACCAGCCTGTAATTTCTACATCAATGCATATTCTGTCTCAAAGAAGAAGCACTTGTGTGGAATAAATAGGACCTGAAACTGAAGAGGAGAGAGACAGCCTACCAATTGAGAAGCTGACTTCTAGGCATGAAAAGGCAATTTAATATCTATTATTTTATCCCATAGGGAGCTGGGTTCTTATGAAAGACATGATTTTATTAAGGAAGTTTTGGCAAGTCTGCTTTTGTGCAGCAAGTGGTGAATAATGTTTTTTCCCAAATAACTGGCTCACTGTTGGAAGTTAACGATGCTCTCCAATGATGGGCTCTAAGTCTGGAGGAATGATGGTGACCAGCTGATCTCCATTTCTGTAGAGAACTGGAGGGAAAGAAATAGTCTGAAATTATAGCATGAAGTCAGGGAGAAGATTTCAGCTAGGGCCACTGGAAAGGTTTATTCTGGAGTTAAAATGAAAGAGGGAAAGTCCAGGCCAGGGAGCAGCCACTGAATTGGATCTTTAGAAATCCTAGCTTTTATACTCTTGGCTCTACAGATCCTGGATTGATAATAATTGCTGCTACCTTTTTCTTTCTTATTGCCCGAGAGATAGGGACACCAGATATGTCTTCCTGGAGGTTTTACTTGGAATTGGAATGTGAGGTCTCTTGGACTACACTGAAATGGGCTGGGCCACAGCCGAAGCACCATGAGACCATGTGGAAGGAGAAGGCTCACTGTCTGTCACTCTGAGCCATGATTTTTGTCTTTATGAGGCTGGGGAGAAGCTAAATTCCCTGGGATGACCTTCCTGGGGTGACACCCTGCCACAGCTGAGGGAGACAGCTGGAGGATGCTTGTACCTAGACCAGATCCCATCCCTATCCTCACTCAGGCTGGATGGATGGCCTTGGAAGTTTCGGGCAGTCATTCAGTTCGGAGTTCCTCTCTCAAATTACTTTTTAAGGATTTGAGGAACTGGGGAACCCCAGGGACGTCTAGGTTCTGCCGCTTTTTTTATTTTTGAGACAAGGTTTCGCTCTGTGGCTCAGGCTGGAGTACAGTGGCACGAGCATAGTTGGAGCCTTGAATGCCTGGGCTCAGGCGATCCTCCTGCCTCAGCCTCTCGAGTAGCTGGGACTACAGGCACACCACCACACTTGGCTGTAGGCTGTACTCTCTGCAGGTTTCCTTGCTTTGCACTGGGTTGCAGTGACCAGGGAGGTGACATTTGTCTATCTTAGGGCTACAGCTACCCTTTAAGCAGGCACTCAGCAAAGAAGTGAGGCGGTGTAAATGGGTTGACTTGGTAGGACTTTCAGCTGCCTGTCCCAGGGGTCCCATTTGACCTGCCAAGTGTGGCCTGCTACATGAAGAGGACATGGGGGGGGTGGGCCTTCTTGAGCCATTATTCACAGCCCAGTTCCAGGGCCCATGGCACTGTTGTTACAGGTACCTGCCCCATCTGCCATGTTGTTTCCTGCATGGTGATGCAAGACAATGACTCTTCAGGCTCTCATAACTGGGGTGCAGGGAGGGGTTGTGCCCCGAGAGTTTATCTGATGAGGCAGTTGGGATTTTATTTTTAACCACCTCAAACGGTCAGTTTCCAATGAGAAAACTGCTGTTTCAGGTAAGGTGAATGTTCCCAAACATTCACCTGGCACATGGATGAGGGTATGACCGGGAGACCCTGAGTATATTTTGGGGAGGCAAGCCTGACTTTTGATCTGGCACTGCTGGCCTCCAAACCCCAGCAGCTTTGTGGGCTCAAGGGCACTGTGATGACAGCTCTGTCCCCTGCCTGGCCCTTTGTCCTGTGCA